ATTCCCAAGTGTGATGTGAAAAGAAACTTCGGAAATCAATGTTTACATATCATTTATTATTTATACTATTTTATTTATGTATTATTTGCTTCACAAATACATAAACTCTAAGGTAAGTTATTATAGTTATTATAGTTATTATAGTTATATTATAGTTACTATAGGTAAGTTATTTGTTAGCATTAAAAAATGTATAGTATTTATTTTTATTTAGAAAAAAGCAACCGAATTTTAACTAAGTTGAGTTGCTTTTATTTTCTAGTTAACCTATTCATGCATGTCATATTTACTGCAGTAATAATATATATTGAAATGATATCAAAAACAGATACGATTTTATGGATATTATTATATTATTCTCCTAGCCGCCTTAATTAGTTTACTTTCGTCCGCATAATTAAACAATAATATTATAAATTATAAGCACAACAATTGTATGTCTAAGTTTCAAAAAAGCTTTCGTATTAAGCTCAATCATATTTGCGGAAAATGGGAAATCTCACTATTCAATTTTCTCGCCTTACCGTATTTCTTCGTAGATAATATATTATATCTGTGTTGATATTATTCACTCGCGTTCTTATAATAATATATTTTATGGTACCTACCTCACCTACCTATATTTGAAAGAATAAATAAATTTTGACTTTTTGACTGACGGTCGACGTAAAATATTATATTAAATGATTAGATATTCCCAACTCAGTTATTGTTGTTTACACGAAAAAACCTCCCATGGTGAGCTAAAACCAGAATTTCGAAACACGCTGGTTATATTATATTATACAGCTATTTATAATAGAAAACCTTATTTTGAAAAAAAATTAGTCGAAATTCTAGATTTGTAAAAATATTCCATAAAAGATTAATGTATTGTACAAGTATCGAAGTTGTGGATTCTGGTCAATCATATGCATATACTGAAAATTGAAATACATCATTGTGAAATGATCACGTTTTTATTTCTATTTCTATATATTTTTACCTTTTTACGGACCCAAAATTTTGTTTGAAAAGATAAGGGTGAAAACTAAAAAAAAAACCTAAATTAGAACACCTTCATTAAAAGTGACACTGGACACTGGGGCCCCAGTTTGCAGCGTAATTGTGCCACTGCGCTCGATGGACGAGGATTCCAAATGACTGAATCATATTCTAAAAGGAAACAAACCAGTGCAAAATATACAATTTTTAAGCTTCGAGCAACTAAGAATCTAACTAACTACGAATCATGAAACCAAATTTACTCGGCGATAGGTATACATTGTGTACTGTATTCATTTAATAACGAACTAAAATGAATCGTTTTCTAACGGTTGTGATCATGTGCCTCGTTGATAAAAATATGTAATATAATTTTTTTCTTTTTTGAATGTATTTTCAACATTTAATTATCTACCTGTACATAAAGAGTAAAATATATTATTTTTCATTGTCAACAATTTACTTTCATATTAATTGTAATGGCGGTTATGTGGGTTGTAAAACAAACGTGGCAGAGTTCAAATTCTGAATACGTCTTAAAATGTGGTTGGTACTTACTGCACCATGCAATTTACATAATATAGTAAATCGTAATTATATAGTACTCTCTAAATATATTTTTTATAATAATAATGTGATTTAATACCCACTAATATTATTGTAGGTATATTATTATTTATTATACTATACATATATTATATAGATCGGATCGGATCATGCAGTACATTATTTTTATACTGGTATATTCTCATCGATTTTTGTGACAATATAACTATAACAATAAAACAATACACAACAATATAATATGTTTCTGCAAGTACCTGGCGTCCTGGCCTACATCGATTTTTTAAGTTCTGAATCGAACGACGATTGTATTGATTTTACAATGTCACAATGATGAGGGTTTTTTTGCTAGTGACTAAAGACAGTAGAAAAATGATTGTATCATCATCTAAGGGGGAGGTTGCTATAGTTGAAAATCTCGGATCTAGTTTGTACTTCAGGAAGGTAAAAATTGAACATTCTCAGCACATTTTGTTAAAATTTGAATTTTTATAGTAAAAAATCTGGTAAGTGGATGTCTCTCTGCCGCACATTAGGCGCCTATAAGTATGGTCGCTGTAATGGATGGTATTAAATTTGAATTCAATGATATCAAATCATTGTATACCTATGAAAAACGATTCTGAGCAGAGACGATATGTCAGATTAGGATGTTTTATATTGTTATTAGGTGCCTACTTATGATACCTACCTATTATGGTATATAGAAAATGCTTACACAAATATTTAGTAAAAATATCATGTATCTACGGTAATTTTTTTTAGAATTATTAAACCAATGTCTATAATAGAGTATACAGTAAACAATTTAAACACATAATTACACTATGAATTATGATTCTAATATGCCAAGTCGATCAAGTTTAGCTAATCCAACATAAAATACCGGATAAAACAACATACAATTATCATAAAATTACGTGCAATTCGTTAAGTTATACGACATATATGTTAGGACGTTAGGTATCCAATATCCATACCCAACTGCTGTAGATCTCGAGTTCATCTGCGTAGTGGTCTACAAACTACATCATCGTCGCCTTGGTCAAAACTTTACTTTATCTGCTGACTAATCTTTTATCCGTTGAATACTTGAATTTATGTTTGCGATCGAGGGCTGTTTTTTGGATTCTTCCGAGCCTGTCTATAATCGAGTTAAAGATATCGACAAAAATAACACAAACTGATAAAATAAAATAGTGTAAAATTCGTTAAGTTAAACAATGTATTTGCTTATACCTGTTCCGGCTGTTCTGAAGATTTGCTGTGTATGTCGTCACTTGTCGTTGTCATTTTCTTTGTCGTCGTCATTTTCATCATCGACGTCATACTCATCATCGTCGTGGGTCTAAACGTCGTTATCGGTTTGGTCGAACGTATACTGTGTACCTATGCTCAGTGGCGTCGGAGAAGGGGGCAGAGGGGGCAATTGACCCCTCAGATATAATAAAGGGGGCCAAAGTATACTTTTGCCCCTCCCCTACTACATTAAAATTAAAGGGTATACAATCGTAAATTACGTAATACGTTTAATTTATACGTTTACTTATACAAAATCGGTCTCATTTTCATGAGTATGCGCTACAATATTATTATTATTATTATTATCGATTTATTATTTATTATTATAACATAATACTTTATAAACAATATATATTGTATATATGGTTTTTGTATACCTATTGTTTATTTTATTTTGTTTAGTTGTAAGATACTTTAATTGTTGATCCAAATTTTTATAAAGGCTAAATAAAATAAAAAAAATTTAAAAAAATACATAACAAACATTCTGAGTAAATCTTATAGACATTTTTTGTCGAATTGCTTTATCAACTTATATTGGGAAATTCCTCGACTAGCCACTATAGTGTTCTCACAACATACCATATTGTTTATTATTGGAATATCATTAGACTATTTATATGTTTTTACAGCTTATATACGTCGTTTACGATTAGGTTCCGATTGGCAATTAGTGATTACTGATTACCACTATTAAATGAGTACGCTGTCGACTGTCGTAGTGTCACCAGTATAATTGTTTGTTGTAACTAAGTTTGATTGTTTAAATACGTTCCACATACCTGCATTCTGCAATGGCGGTTCCCGATCCCCCAAAAAATATCAAAGACTTCTTCAAACCGAAAACATTCACAAATAAATATATAATAATTGTTAGGTTTTTTTATGTCTTGCCCCCCCCCCCTCATGAAAAATAGTTACTGCGCCACTGCGGCTATGCTGTACTAGTAATTCGATAGATTTCTTACAGTTTTATATAAATGTAAGTAGGTATTCAAATCAAACGCTATAAGCAGGCAATGACAAAATCCAGCAGTATAATTATTTCTGTGTATTGTTTAGCTAATAATATACATAAATTGAATAATATAAATAATAAATGATTATAAAATAAAGTCACAAAACATTGATTAAACCACTGTTTTTTTCCAAAGTTTTTTTCTTGGGCACATAATATGTTAGAACCACGACGCATAGGTATAGATAACTAGTAACTACCAATATAATATCAAATCTTGATTTGAGATAAAACAGATTTTGTTATTTTATTACTCTTTTTTTTTTTACCGATCACCTATAATATTATGTAGTAGGTAGGCTTAATTATAGGTACTTGACTAACTTACGACGTACCAAACGTAACTTAATTTTGAAGTTGCCGGCAAAATAAAAGCATCTGATTCGCGTTGTCTTTGTCTATTACTCTATCAGCCATTTATGGACTTACTAAAAATGATTCGAGTGGTTCGACCACTCAAAATTGTATGTAAATGTTTTTATAACATAACATGTATTTTGAACATCTAATTACGCAATAATGTTCAAACAATATAGCATACGAATGAATATAATACTATGAATAAATATTAAATAATACAACAAACTTATTGCAACAAAAAAGGTATATTTAATCACAAACAAAGAAAAGCCATCATTTATATCATGTTTTAATACACGAAATATAAAAAATGTAAAACAATTGTTATTATAGGTATATGCACCTATCTATCATGCATATCAAAAACAAAATATGAAAAAATTGAATAGGTACATCAAAAAGTATATAAAATAAATGATCGAATACATGATACTATATATATAATATATTTATATATCTATGATATTATCTGAAGGAAAATAAAGTTTATAGATTATTAATTTGTTATTCGTTATCTGAATAAAATACATTTTGAAAACCAGTAAGAAAAAGGTAAAAAAAAAATGTTCTAAAAGCAAAAAATAATGTATACTAAAGTGTGCATACAAATACAAAGAATTCAAAAAAAGTTGTAATTTAAAAAAAAAATGTGTATGAAAAAAGTTAATAAAAAATGCGCAAACCATCAACCTGAAACGTTAACGGTACTCCAAATAGTGCAGGCTGACTGTGGTAACTACTGGTAATACTAGCATAGAAGGTTAAACATAAATTATTCCACGTTCACAATACTTTGGCAGAAACATATTCTGCGTGCCACGTTCACGAAGCATTTCCAGACGCGTCTTTTGGACCTCTTCCACACTGATCTGCGCGCAGGTCTACTTGGGATTTCAGTCATTTTTGACAGCACTGTCTGCACTTGCGGGATAGTGTTCACTTCGCCATACTGGGGTGGGAGAATATTGATCTCTGGAGATGACTGGGTTTGAACTGCAAGTTTATGCCGTAGCTGCAGTGGCCCGCAGAAAGCTTTGATCCTGAGATCGACGGCCAGGTCCATCGCGTCGATCAGTGAGGATCGGTGATGGAGTTGCACTGATGTTGGTGTGGTCTAATAATATGATAAAATAAAAAGTGTAAAATTCTTAAACACCAAAGTCATACAACATTATATCATATGTACATACCCGCTCTGGAGATCTGCTGTGTACATCGTCGTTGTCATCATCGTCACCGTCTTTATCATCGTCATTGTCGTCGTCATTTTCATCATCGTCGTTGTCGTCGTCATTTCCATCATCGTCGTTGTCGTCGTCATTTCCATCATCGTCGTTGTCGTCGTCATTTCCATCATCGTCGTTGTCGTCGTCATTGCCATCATCGTCGTTGTCGTCATTTCCATCATCGTTGTTGTCGTCGTCATCTACATCATCTTCATTAGTCTCAATAGTCTCATTATAGTCGTCATTAGTGTTATCGTCGTCGTCGGTCTCGTCGTACATCTTTTTTTCAATAAAAACAATTGACCCTTCATGGGCAGTAGTGTTGTAGTTCCGTTTTCCGTTATCTCCAAAGTTTCCAATTTCCGATTAGTTTGTAATTGCCAATTTCTCAAGCCGGTATTTTGTCCCCATATTGTTCCCACGAGTAGGCATGAAATAAAACGTCGCACTGCGGCAGTGCAGCGTACCGCAGTGAAGGCAAATACTGTGGGGGGTGCCAAGTCCCCACAGGTTCCACGTGGACACACACTGACCTCTGTGCCAAGTACTCCCCCTTCACGAGTTTGGGGGTTGAGGGGTTTTTTTTCAGGGTTGTCTTTCCCTTAGGGCATTTGCTCAGCGCGAGCAGGCTGCCTCCGACCTTACCGGCCCTTTCTCCTATCACCTATTCAGAGAAAGAGCCGGCTCAGAATTTTTTATCGTGGTTTTCCTTCCACTAGGGCTTTGCTGGCGCTAGCAGGCTACCTCCAACCTGCCGACCCCAGCCAGTTAAGGCGAGGGCGGCTCTTGAAACTCCGGCTCCAACCGATTAAGGTCACAGCCGGGTTGGGACCACTTGGTAAGACCTAGTTAAAGGCCCGCAAGCTCCCCCACCACATCAAGGTGGATCCCGTCGGGGGAGTTCGTTAGCAAGTTATGTTATTTAAATTTTAAATTTTTAAATAATAGTTTTGTATAACAAACTATAAATTATTCAGTATAATGGGTACCTCATTCAAAGCTATCTTCATCATTGTAATGATGAAAGCACAGTCTATAATGTTTATTACACTTGTACACAAGGATAAGCATTAATGAGTTGAAAAGTTAACTGAATTTAAACATTAAACTTTTTAATTTAGTTAATTATTTTTGAGTTTCCGTTAGTTTAACTATTAATATATATATTTAATAAACTCTTCATTAAAGTACTCACTCATAGTAGAAACTAATCCTGATTTCTAATAGTTGTGATGTATTAAAAAAAAATAAGGTTAGCACTAATATCCACTATATCGGTAATCGGTATATTTATAATAATAATAATTTATTTGAAATCAAAAACAGTATACCTACTAACAAAACAATAAACATTAATGAATTCAAATATTAAATTCTCGAAAATATATAACATTTAAGTATATACTTGTACATGGTTCTATGTTTTTATTATAAATAAATAAATATTACGAAAAGCTAAGCTTGCTATACAGAATGAGGGAGATTGTTCAAAAACAATTTAGAAGAAATATGTTGATACAGCAAAAACTTTTTAAAAAATGAATAAATGCGTAAAATGTGTATAAAGATAATGAAAGAGCAAAATATGAAAAAAAAATACCTAACAAAATTACATTTTATAAATTCATAATCATAACATCCTTATAAACTAAAATATAATAAAATGAATTTATTGTTGATTATTTTAACTAAACTACACAGAATAATCATAATGTGGAAAAGAATTTAAATAGGTAATTAATTTTAAATTTCTTAAATCTAGTTCAAAATATTTACATAAATTCTACACCGATATTAATTGGACTACTGTGATACTTGTAACTGACATTTCTACATATTATCTTTTAAAATATATATTCTATTTACATTTTTTAAATATTCTTTTTCTAGAAAATTATTATCAAATCAAGCTTTCTATATAATTGATACACTAACTCGCTAAGTTTTACAATATTCATCAATATTTTTATGTTCAATTAAAACCAACTTATCTCAGTCAGTAATACAAATAATATTTCCTTTAATTTTTAGTTTAATAAACCTCTTGCGTGAATAAGAAACTACAACACCCAAGACGACTGTTTCTTGAGGTATTCTAAATATATTTACATTAAATGAATTATTTATTTATTCTTCAATTTTAATAATTTACGATCTATTTGAAATATATTATGTAAAAAAATACGAAAGTTACAAATCTAATTCTTTAATCATACTATTGCGATTCAAAGATTCAAAACCTTTTTTTAAATCTTAAAATAAACCAATAATCATATTATTACCATTATTATTACCTACTAGAAAAAATAAAATTCGAAATTCGAAGATAATAACAGTGCATTTTTTGTTGATTTGTGTTTCCGAAAACGAAATAACTTTCAGAAAAAAAATGTATGTAGAAAGTGATCTATAATATTATTTGTACATTGTTTAATATCATCCGATTTAATACTATGGCTATATAGAACGATTGATAACGTTATATAGGTCTATTATTATGTTTTAGGTATCGAACGATTCACTAAATGTGTACAATTAATAAATAAAATGTGTAATAAAATTAATATTCTTGAAAAAAGTCATGAGTTTAAAATTATAATTATAATCTTAAAAAAACAACTATTAAATTTCAATTTAAAAACGTTGGAAAAAAATAGAATGTTCTCTAACTTACAAATCGTTTTTTAATATTCTTAAAAATGTGGTTTTAAACCGTAGATGTAGGTATAATAAGTGTTCTCAATCGTACTTTACCGAACAATTTCGTTTTGATTACGTTTCAGGTCGTAAGTACTTACCTATGACATAACGGAAAAATGGATATTCGACTGTTCTCTGAGACGGTTATCATCTCCGTCGTCTGATCGCCGTTAGGTTAAGTTGCAAAAAGAAAAATTGTTTTTTAAAAATAATTAATGTAACACATTCCATAAAATAAACTGTTTTTTTTTTTAGCTAAACTAAATAATTATAATAATTGTTTATTATTCGACGTCGATACTGACCTGCCTGTAAACATCTGTGGTTGTCGCGTTTGATTTTTATTTATTTTCAGCCAGCGACTATTTTTTACTAAGGTGTTTTTCCATAGACTCACGCTCGTAACAAATATCGACTATAGTATTATTTTAACTTTACGTAAATATCTGTGATTTACTAAATTACACTAAATTTCATTATTATGCATTAATTAAATTATATTTTAATACTTATACCTATGTAATTAGGCATCTATGTGATAACACACATAATTATTACATAGCGATGCTGTGACAGCATCAACGATGTCAAATGTCAATTTATATTATTGTATTTTATTATTCGCATTCCATATTTTAGGGTTTGATTTGTAAAAATGATGTTTAAGTTTGTTTGTACGTCGGTGACTCGAGTTAAAATGCCACCCACTACAAAATGTCTATATATCCAACACGCATAACTACTCGATTATTTCAATAAATTATGTAAGTAAGATACCTTTTTAAATATACTTACAATTATAAAACAAAACATTGAATGCTTATAAAGAATATTCATTGCATCAGTTTTTGTTTTACTTGCTATGGACAGGCGTCCCGCGACACACCTTTAAAGGTACTTCCGGGGCAACTTCTAGTGTCTTAGACCAGGTACAGGTTCTACACAATATATGAGGGTTGCGACAATAAGCAATTACCTTTGCTATATTTTAACCGGTGAATCCGAGTTGGGTCCTGAATACTAGGGGCTAATCGCAGGTAGTGTATTAGTTGGGTCCCGGATTTTAAAAGATGCTATACTAGTTGGGTCCCGGATTTTTAAAGATGCTATACTAGTTTGGTCCCGGATTTTTAAAGGTGCTATACTAGTTGGGTCCCGAATTTTGAAAGGTACTTACTAATTGGGTCCTGAATTATTATAGGTATTCCACTAGTTCCTGAATATTTTTTGGTAAGTACTACACTACTACGCAATACTAACATTTTCATTCCCATTTTAACAGACTGTCTATGATCTATTTAGAGTTTAGACCACAGGTATGGTTAAAAATGTTTTTTACAGTTTTATTTTAAATATTAAAAATGCTAAAGTATAAGTAATTGATAGTTAATAAAAATATTATAATAATTTAAAATATTATACAATAATATTAATACAATTTTATTAAATTGAAAAGTAAATGAAAAGTACCTGTACGTATATAATATGACTATTGGGATATTATTCGTAATAAAAAAAGGCGTAAGTGGTTTTCGAGCATTCGTGTTATAATTTCAGTGTTATCGGTAATATCTGATAATTTTTGACATATCTTATAATAAACTATCTGGAACAGCGATAAATGCCGATTAAACCTCGACGAATTTCTATCGACGACTTTATATAGCTTACACGGTGCACACCTATCGTTACACGTTGGTAGTAAGTGTTCTGCATTCTAACTTCTAACCACTAGCACTATGGACACGATTCTAACGTTATGTTCAGTGAAAAGGGCAAAAAAATATATATTATAGAAGGATATAAATTTTCATTTCACAAACTTCTGAAAAATGATATTGAAAGATGGAGATGTATTCATAGATCATGTAAGTCATTTTTTAAATATAAAGAAAATCAATTTATTAATCAAAATTTGACACATAATCATAATTGTGATTCCGAAAAAATATTAAATAGGCAGATATTAAATAATAATTTAAAGAGAAAAGCTCAAGAAGCTATTTTTTGTACAGTCGAAAATCTAAATATTTTATGTAACAACAACACATTTTACGTAGATGGCACATTCAAAAGTTGCCCAAAAATATTTATGCAAATGTTTACAATACATACAATACATAATAATCATTATATTCCACTTATTTTTTGTCTACTCCCAAACAAACAAAAATAAATGTATACTCAAACTTTTCGGATGTTATGTAACGAATCCGAAAAACTTAATTTGAAATTTTTACCTCAAACAATATATGTAGACTTTGAAGAAGCTATTCATAATTCTATTTTATCAGTATGGCCGGAAATAAATATTTAAGGGTGGAGATTCCACTTAGGGCAGAGCTGGTGGCGGAAAATTCAAAATTTGGGACTAACAAACGAGTATAAAAGTGATTCTGAATTAAGTAAATATCTCAAATATTTTTTTGGCTTACCATTTATACACCCAGAAGAGGTGGAAAATTGTTTTATTGAAGATATAATGAGTATCCAACCGAACGCGGAACGACAGTAAAATTCGAGAATTCGAGAATTCACTGATTATGTTTTTGATAATTATATTAAAGAAGAATCGAGAT